TTTAGTTTTTAATTTTTTATATTCTAAATTTCTTATTTCTAATGGTAGCAAATTAAAAAAATGAATCGATAAATTAATGTGTCAACCTAAACTTTTACATAATTATATATAACTATAGGCTTTCCGGTGGTAAAATTTCAAGGTCGTACCTTCACCCGGGGGGGGGGGGGCAAGCATTACAATATCCCCTCCCTGTTTACTTAGGCCATAGACACGTCCCTGGTGTGGTGCTAGATCTCTTACTTGGGTGCTAGGTATAGGGTTTCCGGTGCTAAACTAAAATTTCAAGGTCGTACCTTCACCGGGGGGGGGGGGGGGGCTAGTGTAACGGACCCGTGGAAATGCGTTTTTTGTCAATCGTTTACGATTACTTTTTAACTTGTTAACATTACTTCTACTTATTAAATTCATATTTCATATTTTATGCATGCTTCTAATCCTAATAAATGGAGAGCACCCTCTTCAATAATGACTAATGCGTATGGAAACTGCGTGTTGTATACGTAATCTCGAAGATCGAGCCTTGAAGTATAATTATATGCATTGGGTTCTTACGTAAAAGCTTTCTACCTTTTTTTACAGAGATGCAAAGGATGTTACTTTGTACTCTGTATATTATCATTGTTTAATTATGAGTTTTCCATTTTTGTTTTGTAAAAAAAGTTTACGTAGATGCAAAATGATTAATGAACATAACTCAATTCAAGACTCTTTTTGCATTTATTTCTAAAGCAAGTACCTATTGGAAAATGGCAAATAATTAAGCATAATAGCAACTCCGTGCACGTAAGGGTAGTTTGTGCTCATTTTATTAGAATTCAAATTACAATTAACATAATAGTCCCATAGGAAGCACTATTAAAATAAAGGGACATTCTAACTCTTACATTAGTAGTAAAATTCGATAGCAGATAACGTAGCGCCATTAACTTTATTAATAAAAGAGATAAAATTGATCACAAAGTACTCTGTAATGCGCCTTGCCTTAATTATCTATTATTCAAAGCAAGTCATCAAATGGCATGTTTAAATATATTATTATCGATAAATTGATTTCTGGTAGCCTCTCAATCCAAGTCACCGCATACGGTCTTAGTTCTAAATTTATTTCAATGTGAATTTCTGATAACCGGTATCCCTTGGAAAAGTAATTTAGTCAGTGGTGCGAACTTTCTGTCGCCTGGACTATTTTCGACTTAGAGAGGAGCATTAATGGCCGTATCAAATTGCAACCCTTTCTGCTTGCTTGCGGATCATTAACAAAACAATGCCTAAATAAATTAGATTTAGATTCAAATTTCCGGCTCTATTTTCTTTGTGTTTCGATGCATTGCTGTGAGCTTGAAGTGTATTACGTAACTATAATATTTTGAGTTAGGTACCATTTAGAAAGGAGCTTAGCGCGTGCGAGTATAACATGGATAATTACGTTCATTAGATAATTAGAATATTGATTTAAGCATACGCACGTGAAAGAGTGATAAGATTTGGCGTAATATTATGGAGCAGCGTTTGTGTCATAATTATGCACCCGTAAAATATATTTCTTTTCGCTAAAATATTAATATTTGGTCGATATACATATAGTACTTTTTGTCTTTTGAACGTATTGTATATAATTTGCCCCAATATCTATAAATTTCATCGGCCATTGAACACAAATACCTATAACAATAGTAAAACCATTGAATTTATAACTATCTATAAATTCATTTCATATTTGTGATTGCTGGATGTCTCACGAGTCGGTATATTTGTAAAGTGGTGTGCGCCCATGATACTACATTTAGTCATTGAATAATAAAATTTATTATTCAATGATTCAGTGCATGGTGTATAATAAAGACAGGTCAGGCAGGTGGTCGCGCGGCTGCTCATTCAATACGGTTGTAGTGAGTCTCGAAACTCACGGAATTAGAGTGAGAGGTGCGAAGAGAGATGCAGTACTACAGTAAATGTATGTAACCTTTCAGCTTACGAAAAAGCGTTACATGAACTTTTTCAAGCTAAAAATATATATCAATAGGAAATGTGGCATTCCACAAGTATAATCAAAATAACAGCTTAAACAAGAATAACAGAATAAATTAAATTAATTTTTAACACATAAGTAATAAATCATTATGCAGGAAACAAATGATGTGCTACTTAAATTCAGCAAAGAGTAGAGGCAACCAAAATGTATTTACGTAATATGAAAGAAAATTAAGATGCAGTAAAATAAATGTATATGGCATGATAGTAGAGTTTCCGCGCGCTCAAAAGTGATTTAGAAGACAAAAGCAATAACAATAATTACTTTTTGGATGTAAAACGTGACGGTGTTCCTGGCAAAAAAATTAAGTGGCATGCTTGCTCAATTATATGATTGTAGTGGAAAAGTGTCTGTTAATAAATACACTTCCCATGACACAAAAAGATGAGCATGGCACAGCGATGAAGACCTCTATAAGTTATTAAATTTATTACTTATTGAGAAGTATCAAAATAAATCATTTTCAGAAGATTCAGTTCGAGCATGAACAAGAAGATGTCTACTTACGCGAGTTGAAGTGAATAAAAACATTGCTTGAAGGAGGGGACTCATCGAATCGGTTAAAAAGCGACCACCGCTACTCCGTGCAGCGTCACACATTTTTTCTCCTTGTGCCTTTAATTATAAAGATATTTTCAAACTATACCCCTCGTTGGGTATAGGCCTTATAAACGATATTTTAAAAAGTTACAGTTAGTAAAACACTAAGTGGATTTATAAAGACACTAAACCTTCCCCATACTTCTTTTAATTATTTCAGGTAGGTATTAGATTCAAGGCATTAGGTGACAGCGACTATAGTTTCGACCCGAAGGTCATTATCAAGCTGAAATATTATAATTTGAAACAATGACTAACCTTAGGTGACCTACCTTAAGTTTAAAGGAACATATAAAGGTGGTTGAAAATTACATATTAAAATGGTACATTTGGTTATCAATATGCTGTAAAACATATGTTAAAAACGAGTCTAGAAAATAGTTATACTTACGGGAAAAAATTACTAATTAGAACATGGGAACAATAACAATATTAACAATTTAAAAACTGTTTGTCCTCACATATTATAAAACAATAATAATAAAATAAAAATTTCGTTAGTAATTTTTTCCTGTCATGACTGTCATTTACGAAACCAGTGTCGCCGTTAACTGTTGTTTGCCATTTGCGGTTTATTACTTTTTCCAATTTGAACAATTGTTAGAGTTGATGCACTAAAATATGTAAGAAACGTGACTGTGTCTAGTGTTAGTTTATAATTTGTGCTAAAACAGAAGCAGTATTTGTAGATTATAAATACGTAAACGATTTACTGAAAGCATGATGAATGATGATACACCACTGCAATGAAATAAAAGATCATCAGTTAGTACCAACTTCATAATTTATTTGATTTGCGGGAAATTCAAATTGTCCTCACTTCTAATGAATCACCCGGTACCTGAAATAATTAAAAGAAGTATGGGGAAGGTTTAGTGTCTTTATAAATCCGCTTAGTCAATATCACCCCGTTTTGAGTCGTTATAAGATGGATAGCTACCAATTAATTTAGTAAAACACTGTTTAAGCGAATGGCTAAGGAGTATGCGTGCCTTCTTGCCCTATATGCAATGTAAAATGCGTGGAGAAAAATCCTTATATTTACATTACCATTAGAACTCACGACAAACAAAACGCACCGTTGTAAAGATAATTAAACATAGGAACTTTTTGAAAAATTCCATTTTTTTCCTTTTTTGGGCCGTTTGGACATCGGTATCAACAGACGAATTTAGGGGTTTAATTAGTAGGCCAAACACTACGGAAAAACATCATTAGATGCTTTTTACCTATAAAAGCTTGACGGAGGAACGAATTGGGCTATCAGAAAACTCTACTATGCAATAAATGCAACGCGACATGTAGAAAAGGAAAAAGGATAAACCGAATTAAGAGATTTCAAGTAATATTTTAAATAATTTCTTTTTAAATAAATTAAAATGCCCAAGTTTCGAAAAACATTGTTATTAAACAACAAAAACATTCTATTCATTGGGGCATTATAATAGAAATTGGTTCTAGCTTGAGATGATAGGAGAGGCGGTTGATGACGAGTGACATAGGAAGGAGTAATCAATAGAATAGAATTTTGGAAAGAATGTAGGAGTTGTCAGGAAGGTGATTGCTAATTTTGTATAAGCACAAAACATCAATCTTAGTTCTATGTAAAGATAATGAACAGATTTTAAAGTTGACACAGGCAGTTTTATAATCCACATATTCAACTTTTTTTTTAAATAAAATTGAGAAGAGTTTTCTGAACGCGCTCAATGTTATAGTCAGATGCAATATTTTCTCTAAAAAAAGGTATTTAGACCTTGGCTCTAAAATAATTAGGGGAGCTAGTAATTGACTATAAAGGGATTACCATTGAAATCCCTATGCTGCGTCGCGCTAGGCACCACCCTGTATACGTTCAAAAAGTACTATATATCGACCAAAAAATAATATTTCAGCGAAAATAAATATATTTTACGGGTGCATAATTATGACACAAACGGCTCGGCGCCCCATACTAATATTATACGGCCTTAACAGAGCAGCTGTGAAAAATTGAGCGTGGTTTTAGTTTTAGTTCATCAAACTCAAGAAAGTTACGTTGGAACAGCGATTGTTGCGAACCGATCCATAAATATATAATTCACCTCTCTCAAATCAAAATGAGGTATGCGGATAGCTTTATAATCCCCTAATTATGCTAGCGTTTTCAATAAGAAGAAATAAAAATCTAATGACGAATATTTGAATAACAATGAATATTGCATTCTGAACGCTTTAGTAATTATTGTAATTTAAAAGGAATTTTGAAACGAAGCGCCGTTTCCATTGAATAATTCATTTCATGTAAATTAAGATAACCTTCTAGACTTTTGACTCATAATAAATGAAAGCGGCATTTAGATATAGTTTCAATTGCACAAGCAAATGCTTACGTTGCTTGAATACTGAAAATTTCAATTTAGTTACAAGGTCTACAGAAATCCTTTGGCAGTGTTCTCGAGTGTGTATCTACGAATCTTGCCAAGAGCCTTTAATTTTTAAAACAAAAACTGTTGCGCTTAGCATTACAGATATAATGAGCTTGTTGAATCTACGGTGAATATTGCATTGGCTGCAATGTATTATTTAGAACATTTTTAATAAGTAATGGGTTATGGCACATACTAAACTATTGACGAAAGTGTATATAGAATACGTGACGACATTTCTAATACTGGAGAGGAACACATTTTCAGGAAAATAAATAGTGGCTCGCACAGAACGCGAATGTGGGTATCGATGTAATCGGTAAACTATCCAAACTATTTCAATGCTTGATTCAAATACTGGATAACGTAAATGTGGCAATCAAGAGATAAATCTTTTACCATACGGCTTTTAAGCAATTTTCCAGACAGATGTGGGGAAAGTTCCTGTTCCGGATATCTAGAAATTAAATGCAAATATCGGGTAAATATAAAGAATCAAATACAGTATTGCAATGTTTAAATTTAAATCTTTCCTAGATGTTCTATGCTCAAGAATCTTTCTGCATATCAATCAGCCAGAGAACAAACTATGTACATACATTATACAATACATGTGGGCAGCATGTTCATATTTGCCAATAACTATCAATTTTTTATGAAATGCAATTTGAAATCTCATTCCGTATAGTACGTCTTTGGTCATGCAGTTAAGGGGGATCTCACACGGTTCATTTATGAGCGTTTGCAGAGGTTTCATAGAAAAATTCCCCAGACTTTGGTAAATTATACATTGATCTCACTTTTCATACGTAGAATTTTGCGTTATGGAAATAAAAATTCGTTATATAGAAACATAGAATTATCCTAGGAATTATCCTGCGTCTTTCCAACAAAAAAATGGAAAAGATGTGTACGGAAATACGGTCGTGACAATTTTTCCACGAAACGTGTACAGTGTATGGATTGTATGAATTTTACTTGCTGTAGTGTAGCGCCGCGCAACACGAGTTCTAAAACAGTTTGGTCATTTTCTGGGAAAGGAATATTTCGTTTGTCAATTCTGAATCAGGGAGTACTTGCAAGGATTAACAATTTTCGTTTAAAATATCTTCATTTAATGATTTAAGTGTAAATTGAGAACACTTCACTCCAGACAAAGATAGTCTGGATAGTGCCCATAAATTTGATTTGAATAAAAAATAAAAATAATTAGCAGTTAGTTTAGTTTACCCATTTTAAGTATAACTTCCAACTCCGACTTCCAATGAAGCAGCTTTTTTAAATGGCTGCAATTCTCAAATTCCACACTATATAACTAAAATATATGTTTGAGCCCTGGTTTGAGCTGAACAAGTCAGTTGAGTCTCCTGTCCATCAAGTCATCTTCGTAAACGCAACGCAACAGTGCATATTCCTATTATATACGGTAGCAAATAATAAATAACAAGTAATCGTAAACGATTTACAAAAAGCGCATTTCCACTTGCATTCATTTTCCATTTGTAAGATGCAACTTCTATTAGAATCGTAAACATCGGGTCACAAATATGAAAGATAGCGTTGCATAGGTGCAATCCATTTTTGACGTGCTACCTACTTCAATTTCGGTTTATAAGAATCTCATTTCAATGCTTTTCTAAATAAGAAAGTTGACACTGCGCATCCGCAAACCTAAGTTTTGAAACTAACGTTAGATTTTCCTTTGTTCCAAGTGGCTATGTATCAAATTTCATTTAAATACTTTTTTGCTTCCATAAATAAAAAAAGTTGGCACTGCGCATGCGCAAAACCAAATTTTGAAACTGGCGTTAGATTTTCCTTAATGCCAAGTGCCTATGAATCAAATTTCATTTAAATGGTACCATAGATAAAAAAGTTATCTTGTTTAACGATCGCCGAGACAGTTTATAATTTTGTATTGCCGTGTCTGTCTCTCCGCGTGCACGATAACTTTGTTAAAAAACGTCAGACCTCATTAAAAATTGGTACAATCGTTCGGTCGTCTTTGTTTTTCAGCTAGGAAGTTGTAGAAAAGATGGATGCGTGAACATCTCGAGAATCGTTCGGTATTCGGTTGTATCGAATTTGTATGCTTAAAAATTACGAGGTGTGATGTTAATCGATGTGGTTTCAATCCACTAAACCACGATTAGTAATAGGCTACTAAATGTAATCACCCACAATGACATCAAGTGATCATGATGATGATGGATAATATTTTTTAATTTTTAAAATATTTGGGTGACAAGTGTTTGAACTCTCTTACTATATTTAAGTAGTTTTCATAGTAATAAAACACTTTTGAAAGTATTCAAATACTTTTTATAGATATACAGGGTGATTCCTATAGTACCTGCCACCGTTTGGGAGCGTGTAGGTGGTGCGTAGGGGAGTATTTTGATATAGGACACTTGGGGTCGGAAATCTAAAATAAGGGTGCCAGAGCCAAATTTACCTTCTGGAATTTCGCGCCTGTAGGTAGGCAACCCAACCGGCCGGCGGTGCACACGGAGCGATCTCAGGCGGCGATGTGTGGCTGACACTTGATCAGAATTTTGTTTAAACCCACGAAATCCCGTCTGCAACGACGCGTATCAAGTGAATAAACACTATGGCAATAGTATAATAATAGTTGGCTAGATGTAGGAAGTGCATTGAGAACAACGGTGGCCACGTTGAACACTTGTAAACGTTATTGCTTTTGACTGTCGTTTTCCCTCCTTCCCTCCCATGTCGCTTCCTCGCGCTAACTCGCTCTGCATCGCTCCGCGCGAAACGTCGGTCGGTTGGGTTGCCTACATACAGGCGTGAAATTCCAGAAGATAAATTTGGTTCTGGCGCCCTTATTTTAGATTTCTGACCCCAAGTGTCCTATATCAAAATACTCCCCTAGGCACCCCCTATACGCTCCCAAACGGTGGCAGGTACTATAGGAATCACCCTGTATAAAAGCAGGACTCTAAATGACATTGATAAATTATCAACTTCGGGATTGACCTTGAGTTTTCAAACTAAGCGATGCAGGAATAACTCGATAGTACCAACCTATAATGCTGTACTCACGCGCTTTATGTAGTCTTCCCTAATCTCGCTTTATCTAGATCTCGGTAGGTTCATAAAAAACGCCAGAACGTGTTTTGACTATAATACAGTTTAGTATTTTCGAAATTTTTCTAAACCCAAAAAATGCGACATAAATACCCGCACAATTGCAGCACATTAGACAGAAAAAAAATTGTTAATTTTTGGGCTTGTAACGTGGTCAAGGACGCGGAGTAAACGGGGCACAAAATAAATCGGGAAATAAAGAACAAATAGCCCTAACCACGGCTGCGGCTGCTCATGGAGAGACTAGGCGGGTAAGAGATAAAATTTAAGGCGCCACTAATTTTTATTTTCCCTGTTAGGGATCCGTGCTCCAAAATTAGAAGGTAGCCCTCTGATGATCGAGGAAGCTAAGGCTCAAAAGAAGGGGGGAAGTACAACACATTAATTAAAAGAAGCATAACATCTTATTTAATTTCGCCTGGGACTTAAAACAAACTATAGGTATAACAAAATTGTGACTCAATAAATGATAATAAAAGCAAACTGTTTGCGTTAGGTTTTTTTTTTGAGGGGAAAACAACAATCTAGGGGAGGAAAAAGGGATGGGGGCTAGGAACTTTTGGATAGCGGGTAACACTCAACGAAAATATATATAATTACCAGACTACTTAGAATACTGGTTTACTGCTTATTGTGAGATCTCACATTACATAATGGCAGTGATGTTACCTTTCTTGATTTTTAATTTATTTATTTTATTTTTTATATGGGGAGTGATTGGGGGGCGAAGCAAAAGGGGAAATATAACGAACAATTTGTGACAGTACTCAATACAATACAATACTTGCAGTTTATATGGCTGGGTCCAGCAGGCGACGTTAAGGGTGACGTTATATAGAGAAGGGGACGGTAAAGAACAAGGGGAAAATAGGGTGAAGAATAGAGGAACGAAACTTAAGCGGTAGGGGAAGTGCTGAATCGAAAAGGAACAACTAATTAGGGAAACGGAAACGGGGGGTAAACGGCGTCTTCTTGTCTTCGGATCCGGCTGATGGTGTCGTCTAGGGGCTGCTTACATTGAAGGTAGTAGGCAGACACCGTACATTAAATTACAAAAAAGAAGGCCCTAAAAGGGGAACGAAAAATATTGACATGCAAAACGACAAACAAACCAAAAAAAATACTCACAAGGTGGTGGAGGCCTTAAGGAAGAGTCATCCCGTGTGCAACGAACTACAGGGATTTAATGACAATTCTACAAAAAAATATACAGGATGACAAAAAATAATCACAAAGGGGGTTCTTACAGACGATGAAACGGAAACGCACACCGAAGGGTTGTAAAATTAATCGTAGAACAATACTGCGTGATTTAAGAAATCGATAAATCCCCAAAATATGGGCGGCTCACAATAATAAAACTTCTCCGAGCTTCTGGTGATTTCAAAAAAAGAGGCCGAATCCCAATTAGGCTTGCACAAAAATTTATAAAACTTCTGCACCTCATGCACGCACAGCGCAGGGCCGAGCCGTGCCGGGGGTGCAAGGGGTGCGTTGCACACGGGCGGCACTAAGTCGGGGCGGCAAACAGCAAAATCTCTGTTTATATTTGATTTTAAAAGAAACATCACCAATACCGACAAATTGTGCATTATGCCCGGGGCCGGCAATCCGGCTCCGGCGACCGGCATAACAAAGATGCAGGTATACGTTAGTCGTTAATACGTTAAATACGTATACAAAGACAAAAGCAGAGCGAGGCAGAAAATCTTATCTGGGTGTAGAATGAAATGACTCGACTCGTACTGTCGTACATACGCCGTCAGCACTCAGCAGCTTATATTGCTTATCGTATCGCCTTGCCGCTTGCACTTATTTAAATTTTCAAATTTCACTTGTCAGCATTATGCGAGATGTTTTTATTTTACGAATTACGATTTTACCTGCTGGCCGCTGGCGCTGCTAACCTATGGTCAGGTCGACAGACGACAGACGTATTCACTTCACTTAGCCAGTTTGCCAGTCTGTTTATGCGATCAAGTTAAAAACAAAAACTAAAAGTAAAGGTTGCGAATTATTGCCTAGTCTTTTTCTCTATTTAATTTGTTTTTATTCTATCAATATCAATTTAATTAACTGTTGTGATTGTCAATGTAAAAGGAAAAGGTAAGTTTTAATTCAATATTTTAATAATAATTAATAAGTACATATTATTATTATGTGTCCGAGTCCGTAATCGGTAATCCTTACATTTATTGGTATAAAAAATTATTATTTTACATTTTTATCAAAATTGTTAAAAATAGTTTAATGATTTAGATGGCTGATGGTCGAAAAAGGCTTTCTGGTTCACAATACCGTAAAAGGAAGCTAGAAAAAGAAGAAGATAAAAAACGATTAGCTGGATCATTAAAACAGTTTTTTGTGTCCCCGAGGCCGAGGAATAACAACGAACCACAACCTGGTAGTAGCCAAGATCGAGACCCAGATGATGTTCATGACACGTTGGAGGAGCTTGAGCTTAATCACTCTACGATGAGTACGCTAACGCCACTCACGCCACCAACTGCACAAACCGCAGATACTGAGAGTGGAGAAGCAATAAAAGATCTTAAAGATTTTGAAAAACATAACGAATTTTTTGGCTTTTTAAGTAATTTAAGCGCATTTTCTAAAAATCAAATATTAGAATATTGTAAGAATTTAGAAATGAAATTAACTGACCCGACAACAGAAAATATGGATATAAATGCTATTGATCTTTACAATGAGATTGATACATTATCAATTTATATTAATAATAAAAATAGTATGTCGGCCAAAGAAGTTTTAACATATCTAGTCAAAAACGACTTACAATGCATATTTCCTAATTTATTCGTAGCTTTGCGAATATTTTTAACAATGCCGGTCACTGTAGCACATGGGGAGCGATCATTTTCAAAATTAAAGCTTATAAAGACTTACTTAAGATCTACTATGAGTCAATTAAGACTTTCGAATTTAGCAATCATAAGTATCGAAAAAGATATTTGCTCCAATTTAGATGTTACCGATTTAATTAGAGAATTTTCAGTTAAAAAAGCAAGAAAGGTCGATTTTAATATTTAATTGCCCCTGATTTGGTATTTTTTTCTTTTCTTTTGCTAGTTTAAGTACTTATA